GGGAGTCCCTGTTCCCTTGAGCACCACCAGGAGTGACCAGGAATAACGGTCACAAGCTGGCAGAGAGTAGGTTTAGGCTTGATATCAGGAGGCGCGACTTCATGGTCAGGGCGGCTAGGATCTGGGACCAACTTCCAAGAGAAGTGGTGCAGGCTCCTACCCTGGGGGTTTTTAAGAGGAGGCTGGATGAATACCTTGCTAGGGTCGTTTGACCCCAGTACTATTTCCTGCCATGGCAGGGGGTCGGACTCGATGATCTGCTCAGGTCCCTTCCAACCCTAAAAACTATGAAACTATGAAACTATATATCTATATTGTTGCTATTTTCTGGTTGGTCTAATAAAAGGTATCACCTCTGAACCAAGAGTTTTAGAGTTTTGTATTCCTATATAGCATATAGGTATTACTATACCCACCCCTGCACTGGGCGATTGTACTGCTTGAACTAGATCAGTACAGTCAATGTGATTCAGCTTTGCAGACAAAGACCTCAGTTGCTTTGTGGAATCCAGTCAGTTTGCTCTTGTGAGCTTAACACTGTTTAGAAATCCCCCTGAACATCTGTGCAGATGCAGCTTAACACCTTTAAACAGTATTCAAGGCACAGTAGCAAGCAAAGCTTTAGCCTGAGGTGAGAGGCCTGAGCTGCAACATGACTAGCAGGTGTGGTTTTAAATGGCTTAGAGCAGGGGTGGGCAAAATAGGGCCCGCCAGGCAACTCCATCCCCTCTGTAGGGCCTGGCGTGCAAGCCGGTGCCTCCACGCCAAGCAACAACTCTAAGCAACTATAGTAGACATTTGATTTCTTTTTTTTTTTCAGTATATGATTTAGGAAGGTTTTTGGTTTCAGAATGGCACCCCCCCAAAAAAAGGAGTACTTCTGGGGCAAAGAGAGGGATTTCTGGTTGCAAAGATCAGGGGTTGGGTACAGGACTTCCAGCCCCAATACAGCAAGTAGGGGACAGGACACCTGTCAAGGGGCAGGGCTATGCTTGCGGCCCTCGATGCCTCACCAAAACTCATTATTCAGCTTAAATAATTGCCTGCCCCTGGCTGAGAGTGCATGTCTGGAGGTTAGTAGGGTGTAACTAACTGGGCACAGCTGAAACGGGGTGAAATCGGTGTTCCCCCAATTTATGTAGATGCAATGAAGTCACACGCAGGGTAAGAGCCTGCTTAGAGGGAGGAGCAGTATTTGGATGTAGCTCCTGGATAATTGCCTTCTCTTTTATTTTCTTGGAGAGCTATGACTTCAATTGGGTTTTGTTGATTAACGCCACCTGAGAATCTGGCCCTGAATCAGGGTATTCTGGGCACAGACCATAAGATAATACAGGTGCACTGGCTGATTTAGGAATAAATGTATTCATCTATAGAAATGAAGCTTCAGCTGTGTTTGGCTGAATGTATATAAATAGGGCTGCTCTTGTCTTTGGGCTTCGTTGCAGGTAGGGGGGAGGACAGCGAATATGCAGTTGGAGGTGGCTCTGAGCTTGCAAGACGTAACGGACCATGACACTTTGCCACTTGCTGCTGTAGGTGTTACTGCTGCCGTATCCTTGTGTTTCTGGGGACATGGGCAGCCTTGAATGTTTTACACTGAGGGCACCTGGGTTTGGCAGGGAAACGGGCAAGAAGGGAGGCTGGCGAAGTAGGTAGAGAAGGTCTTCGGAGCAAAACCTTTAACCAAACTCCCTTGGTTACTCGGAGTTCAGTTTAAATGGGGAAATTCTGCTCAAGCAAGCGACAAACTGTTGTCAGTGTTTGCACAGGTCTTTAGCAGGGGATCTACTGGCTGGACATCAGGGGCCCCAAGCCCAAGCTCTCCTTACATAGATCACGTAACACTATTTCGCTGTCACTACTCCCTGTCACCTCTATCTTCTTGCGATGGGGCGTGTGAGGCTGCCCCCGTGCAGGTGTGGGAGCCAGTTTCTATGTGGTTGCACAAAATGTGCCACCAGCCAGTGCTGAATATAAGCTATTGCTTCTCAGTACTGGTTTGTTAACAACCATTTCTAATGGAAAAAGGCAGATTAAGGCCCAAGGATGAGGATAAAGGAGATTAACCAAGCCAATGCACAAAACTATAAAGGGAGAAGTGTAGAAGAAGGAAGGGATTTCTTAGTGGTCAAAGTCCTCTAATGAGACTGGAAATTTGGTTTAAATATATGATGTTTTCCATGGACTCCTGTGTGACACCTCTCGGGATATCCTTGGAAATATCCTGAAGCTTTCAATTGTTTTAAGCATCTTTTTGCAAGGGGGAATTCCCTAAAATATTTCAGTTTTGATAAAACAGCATTTTTGATCTGGGAGAGGGTATAAATGTCAGAAAAAATTACTCACCAGCTCTAGTCATGAGATATTGGTTAGGCTCACATGCCGTAAGGATGGGGGTTATCACACATGGACAGCTTTTGTCAAGGGCAATTCTTCGAGCAGATACATATAACTGCTTGCATATACCTCCTCCAGTGTGCGGTGTCTTGAGAAGTGTTTGGAAAACCAATAAATAATATATACAGGGGAAAAAATACCCAATACATTATGAGTGACAATTCACCTCCAGTGAGAGCTTTGGCACTGCTCCATTTCAAAGAGAGAGGAAGGCAGGTACCAGAGATTTCAGTCCCTGGCTCCTGCCACTGGCTCCCTGTGTGACCTTGAGCATGTTGCTTAATCTCACTTTTCTTCAGCTTTTCAACTGAAACGGCGCTTGTGAGGGCGAGTTAATTTATCTCTACCAGGGAGCACAGGAGTAGTTCACCTCCCTTCCTGCAGTGTCCCCAACCACTGGGGAAGCTGCTAGGGAGAGGTTTTATTTGAATGCAGTTTTACAGGCCCAGCAAGCAGGAGTTGAGGACTGAGGGGGGAAGAAAGGGTGAAATTTCTGTTAGCCATAAATGAAATTTGCTACATAAACCACCATTTGAAAAGCAAGTCCTGGAGTGGAGTCGAGGCTGGCTTTTAAACTTAATTATGCACATGTTTCTCAGCCAGAGTTTATTGAATCATATGGTATAAACCATAAACAAACAGTAAAAACCTGGCTGTGTTGGCTGCTACAAGCAGCAAAATGATCTTTAAAGATCAAATATTTATTTCAGAATCCCAGGAGCCAAGCTTCCTGCATAAACGTCAAAAGCAAGCGATCCATTCCTCTTAGACATAGGATATGAATCTTCCCCTTGATTGGACTGTGCATAAACAAATTATCATGTGCCTTCACGCTGCAAAGGAGGAGGCTGTTCTGATGACTCCACAAATGCATAATCTAAAGGATTAGTAGGTTGCCTTGGCAGTGAATTATCTGTGCACATCTTGACATAAATCAGCAAAGTGACGCGCTGTTTGGAAACAGCAAGTGCCGCGCTTCCCTGATGGCTACTCAATTCCCCGCTAGTGGGTCCTCATTAGACCTCCTAAGTTTGAAATAATGGGCAATGTGAGCCTTTGATAGCAAGAAACTTTGTGATTCCAGCTAGGACATCATATAAACAATGGTACGATTAGCTACAGCATGGAGTCCCTTGAAATCTCTGTAGCTTTTCTGCGCTGCCGCTGTTCATTTCTCATTTCCATTGTAGTCAGGATCAGAAGAGCAAGGCAGTCGCGGAGAGAGCGTCATCTGCTGCAAGGACGTTTAGAGACTTCCTTTAGAGGCTAGTCTGTACAGCGTCTTCTGAAGTTTATCCCTATGTATGGATGGGCTTGTCCACACAATGTCTGAGTCCTTTATTATTATCCATTATTGACTGGGAGTGGGGTGCTAAGGTGCATGGCTGATAGCCCAGAGATCGCAAGTTAAAGGCCATAGCAGCAGTGCTCATGGTGTAGCCCTGCCAGAGTCCACTGAATCTGTGAATTCTGCTAAATACCTTCTCACAAAGACACAGCAAGAAAGGAAAGACCCATTACTGGTTATCCCGGGCACCAACCAGCATTTTTGTTTGATGCCGGGGGGGACGGGTTACTCTAGACATAGTTCTGTATATATGCTCTTCCTCTAAAGCACCTACTACTTGCTAGTGTCAGATGGGATTTTTTTTTTGTTATATATATATATATATATATACATATATATATAAAAAAGGTTATATATCTCTACACTGCACATATCACACCACAAAAAGAAAAACCTTCCCCATTACAAAAACCGCACCCGCGCATCTGGGTGAGATAGGCCATTGGTCTGACCCAGTGGGACTTCCCGTTATTAGTAGTTCACCAGATGGTTCACCAAAGTTTATAAGAGCTATGCAAAACAGATAGGTCTGATTCTTTTTTTTTTTCCCCACTCGGGTTTACCCAGGTGCAGCTTTGATGGCCCTGACAGAGTTATCTCTTCACTAGATCTTGTCAAAAGTTGTAAGCATTTCCCATGACAGATCCTGAGAGAGGAGGAGAGAAAGAGCGTGAGTATGAGCATGCCTGTTTTCCCTAGTTCAGTCTCACTCATTCTTCTCCCTTTCCCCCTTACTTCTTTTTTTTTTTTATCTTTCCCCCCTCATTTTGCCATGGGAAATGTGGGAGAAAGAGGAATTCAAAAATAGAAAAAAGCAAGAACAACAAAAAAAAGCCATGCATGTTAGACTTCCCGGGAAAAAACAGGACGGGGGAAAAATTTCTCCTGCAATTATTCACATTGTAAAGAAAAAGTCCATGGAAATGGTGGTTTTGAAAGGGTTGCTGCAATTCAAATGCTGTTTCTGACCCTGCTCTTCTGCTAGAGCATGCTTACAGGGATAAAGGCTTTCCTGGTAATTAAAAGATACAAGTGATGCTAAATCACTTCCTAATCACCAGAAGAACTGAGGTTTGGAAACCGACTTCCAGGAGAAGGCAAAAACAGCTTTATCATCTCTATGAAAGATCCTTGCATAGTGCTCAGATCAGGCTGCAGCCCCAAATAATTTGGGGGACCCAGCAGGGCCTACGGGTATTACCCCTGAGGTCAACAAATCTGCCCACACCCATAGCAGTGACTTTTCCAGGAATTAAAATCCTGCGACTGCTTCTGAAACTTGAAAACTTCACCTCTGCTGGCTGAAGCATCTCAGAGCGCTGCCTGTCACCCAGGCTGAGAGAGGTTTTCTGCAGGAAAAAAAAAATCAGCTTCTAAATCTTCAAAAATGGCTGCGGGGATTGCTCCAGGGGGAAGTGAATACAGCATGGAGACGGGGAACCTCTGCAGTGATTTGACAAGTCTGCTTTTAAATTATTCAGGCTGTGAGCCTTCCACCCCCTCCTTGGGGAAATTATTTCACCGCCCGAACCATCTCACCATCAGGATGCCTCTCCTGATACCTAAGCTGTTACCTGGACCCCTTTCTATCCCATCAAACCATCTAGGGAAACTCTTTCTGCTGTTCACAGATGCCCTTGTAGATGGGTATTATGAGGCTTTCATGTCATTATGGTTTGGCCAAGGTATTTCAAGCTGTGATTTTTTTTGAAAGAATGAGTTATTGTTATTTCTGCACATCTCATAGTTCATCAGTTTCCACAAACCTTTGAGCCAGGACACCTGCCAACACCAATTCCACACTTGGCATTGTTCGCACGCAAGCCCACCCATCAAATGTGAATGAGCTAATGAGGTAGCCAGATGCCCATATCGCTACATGTTGTTGTTGTTGTGGTTGGTCCTAAGTGGCTTCCACCCCCCTGTATCAAATCACTGATACAAGAAAAGAAGTTATAGTCCATTGGGAGCCTGGAAGCCCGTTGTAAGACCAGTCTGGTTAAGGCGCACCCATTCTGTAGCTCCCAGCACACAGGGAGGGCTACAGGTAGCATCACATCTAGCCACCTCTGGTTTCTGAGACCAAATTGACCCA